CGATCCCATTACCAGTCAGTAAAAAAAGACAAAAAGGAAAAAAAAAGATTTTCTCTTCCTAAGAGCAATTTACCCTGATACTGTCTAAAAACTTAGGTCACATTTCTCACTGTATTGATTTCATGACCCATTGGTGGGTCACAACCTGTGGTGTAAATAACTGTGTCCATTGCAAACGCTTCCTTATTGCCTCCATGTTTTCCTGGCTCCCATCCTTTCTATTCATGTCTACCGAATTAATACTTTTAAAAGCTCCATTTTAATTATGTTTACTTCTTATCCAGAATTCTTTATGGACTCCTCTTAGAATCTTATGAAGAAAGTTCAAATTCCTTAGCCTGGTGTTTAAGGCTATATCAAACCTAGCCCTAGCATAGACACCCCCATACATATTACCTCAACTACAGACAAACTGAACAAACCTGAATACAACTTGTGCTTATCTCATCTTTTTCAGATTGAATTCTGTCCCTCCTCAGTCCCTATGAAAATTCTACCCCATTCATTCATTCATTCATTCATATATATTTAATGAGCACCTACATGTTCTAGGTAGAGGGGGCAGGTGGTCCCTGCACTCACAGAGCTGACAGTATGGTAATGTAAATATGAAAGTATCAACAAATGTGAAAACAGTTACAAGAAGGGAAACAGAATATAATTGGATCATAAAATAGAAAGAGCATACCTAAATTATATGGCTAAGGCAAGACTCCCAGAGAAAGAGCCACTTGTCTAATCTGAGTGCCAAAGAATAAAAAGGAGCTACCAGGTGAAAAGTGAGGGTAAAATGTGCTCAGGTTGGGAAACAGCAAGCATGCCAAGGGTCCCGAGGAGAGAAACAGTATGTGCAAACCTCAAAGCAGTGGAAGAAGACTAGTTTGGCTGTGGAAGAGAGAATGCAAGGCAGAGCAGCCTATGAGCTGGGGGGAAAGGGAACAGCAGATTGTGGATGGCATTACACCCCAGATCAACATATTTATCATGCCTGCTATGTGCCAGCTTACTCAGCATTTAAGGATGATTAAGGCATGTTTTCTTGCCATCCAGGAACTCACATTCTTCTCTGGAAAGTGATAGGTAAAACCTGTAGTGGGAGAAGAGCCAACTAGATATATGTACAAGTAGTTCAGAGAAAGGATTACTAACTTTTCCTGGAAGATTGAGAAAAGCTTCCTTTAGAAAGTAATGCCTGAGCAGAGATTTGAAAAATGAATATGAGTTACTTTAGCAGACAAAGGCTTATCAGGCAAAGTTATAGGGACATAAACAAAATGTGCAAAATTATAGGGACATAAACAAAAAAAAAAGTCATGGGTTTTCCAAGAAGTTGTCATTGATAGCCCCAGGAGAAAGCGTTTTCATGCCCCTCAGAATTTAGGACCCCTGTATCATAATGGAGTTAGTCTACAGGATGATCAAGTACTTGAGGAAAGAGGCTTCATCCTCCTTTTTTTTTTTTTTTTTTTAATCACCAGTGGAAGCTTATCATAGTACTTTGCTTATAGAAGGCACTCAGTATCACTAAATATATATTTGTGGAATAAATAAATAGCTATTTTCTGAATTCAAATTAACAAAGTGAAGCCTTATGTGCAGAAGGAAACAGAGAAATATATACTTTAATATACTTTTCAGGAGCTGGGAGGAAGATTACCAAAGAAGGAAGGGCTAGATAGTGGAATCCCTGTGACTCCAAAAGTTCAAACGGTAGGGGAAGGGCTCCAAATCTGGGTGCCTGGGAATGGGATGCTCTTGTATAAGAAGGCAACAGAAATGGATGAGAATAACGCAACACATAAATTACTCATCATTATTATTACTTTTTAAAAAGTCTACCTACAAATACTGAGATAATCAAGAATTTGGCATAGTTGATATCAATTCAGGAAGAAAACATAGAATTTAATAGTTCACCTCTCTCCTTCCTTCTCCTATCTTAGCCTTGAGTGTTAAGAAATCATTTAAATTAACTTCAAAATATTCTTGCAGACATTACTAAACTCTGTCCATACCAATGAATTCCAATGACATCATTGTTTCTATGGTAACTAATGCACTTCAGAAGGGGGAAACACAGCAAGACTAAAAACCAAGGGGAAAAAAAAATGTAATAAAGTGGTATAAACAAACCATAACATCTCCTTTGCATTTATGGAACACTTTCTAATTTCAAACACTTTACCATTACTTAGACTCTGAGGCTCTTAAGAAAGAGCCAGAGGGATCTCAGAGGTCATCAAATCCACTTCCCACTTACAGCTGAGACCCACCCCCTTTATGATGTAGCTGCACCATGGCTGTCCATGGTGGAAAAGTTCTCAGTCATTCACTTGCAAGCATTACTGAACATCTATCTTGCTTTGCAGGTTTAAGAGATGATTAAGATATTCTACCTCCTTAAAATTTTTTTGCAGTTTAGAGGGTAAATCGTTAAAACATAAGGGTGAAAAAGGAGGGTTATAATAAAGATACAAGATGTCCAAATAGCCAGAGGAAGGAACTATTAATTCCAACTTGGAGGGATTACACAGTTCCAATGACTTTCATTTCCAATCCACATCCATTAACACATTCTGGACTTTGTCATGACCCAGAATTGCTCCAACTCAGCAAACTTAAACTCCAGCATTAAAGTTCTGATTCCAAACAGCTCTTTTGCCCCCTAGCTAATCCCTGAAGTAGTCTATGAGCCTTATGGAGTCTACAATACTTCACTTGAAATAGTTCTTCCTGATACTTCCTTGCTAATATCCTCAACTTCTGTCCTCCAGTGGCATCCACCAAGCTATAGCCTAGGCTAGACTTAGTGACCATCTCTCTTCCACTCTGTTATATAAGGATTATCTATCCCACCCTCTTTCTTAGAATCTAGAGAAAAATTTGTCAGAAGAATATGAGACTGACTGTCTATTTATAAGGCAGTGTCAAGGGCTCCAGGTAAGTGAAAATAACATAAGAACTGAAAGGTATATATGATGAATTTCTTAACTGTGGTCATCAGACTCCCAACTAGCAAAATCTATGTGGGACCTGCCCCATAGCCATAGTCATCTCAAATCACATCATCAGTTGAAATGGTCTGTTGGTATAAAGATGATCATTTATTGGGGAGTGGGAGGGATGAGATAAGAAAAAGGTTTGGCTCCTGCTCTTTTTAAAACTTTTCCCTCAGGGATTTCATGAGGCTTTTGAGTGAGCTAGACATACTCATATGCCTCCATCTTCCCCTTACAGAATGAGAAGTTCAACATTCACTTTTATGCAGATAGAATGGCTATTATCTTGACCTTGAAGTGGTCTTAACAGATCATTGGCCCTGTTATCTAATTTCTGCCCCCCAAAATGATTACAGATAACTTGTTAACTCCATGTCATAATTTTTGGTAGACAACCCTCTCTCTAACTTGTTGCTGATTTATATTTTAAAATCCAATATCTAAGTAACCTTATTTAGTTATCTGGGTAAGCATTACTTGTATCTAGTTTATCTTACAGGGCACAATAGAAAGTCACATTGCTTAGACTAAGTGCTTTAAAGAGACAATTTTCTGTCTGAGGTGTGCATTCGGTTATCACTGCTTTAAAAATTTTCCAAGCTAAAGTTCACAACATAGAACACTGGCCCTAAACTACTTGATTACAGTGTTTACCCCTGCTAGTGAAAATAACCTCAGATCACCTGGAAGGTAAGAACGCAGGTGTCTTCCTTATCAGGCTTCTCAATTTTCCCAAGAGCTCTGCAACCCAGAGCTCCACAGCTTGTCAATGCTAACTGGCAAGGGAGAGGAGGTACTTATTGAGGAGAATCACCTTGACACCACTACTATGCTATTTTATACTTTTCAGAAGCTCCTTTGAGAAATAAACATTTATGAATGCTTCCTTGAGAATTCATTCATTCTAATACATTATTGGATCTGATCCTGTGTCATGGTCTCATTGAAGAATCTGATGAAAGTTATTCATTCTTTCCATACCAAAACCAAACACACACTGAGCATATATTTAGGGGTGGGGGAGGTAAGGGAGACAGAATCACGAGAACCCTGAAGCTAATCTACAGGCTGAAGTTTAAAAAGCTCTGCTCTATACGCTCTAAAATCTATTCTCAAATTAGGCAAGGCTACTAGAGAGCCACACAGATAGAAGCCTCATGTTGGCCTGTACTGAAATGCTTGCTCTAAACTGTACTCAGGCACAATCCCATTTGCTTTGGTTGAGGCACACTAGAAAGAAGAACCCTCTATTTACTGTGAAGAAGGCAATAATAACATACAGCTTCTTCTTTCCGAGAATCTAGAGGGGATATGTCTCTCTGGTCTCAGCTCTGTTCCTCTTGAGCATCCAGCTCTTTTTTTAACCTTGTAGAAATGAACAGTTTTATAACATTACCATGTTTCTTTCTCTTTGGCTGCTAGAAAATTCATGGTATACCTCTATCATGTATTTAAGTTCCTTAAGAGCATACAATTTGTTTACTGACTTCACTTCTGACTCCATCTGATTTTAATTATTCTTTCTCTATTTTCATTATATTTTTAACTTTTTTTTATTTTGCCACATTTAGTGGAAAATCCTGAAATACCTCCTAAAGACCACGGGCTATGGGTTAAACTGTAGGAGACAGAAGGGAAAAAGTAATCTTTTTTTCACCTGTTTTCCCACAAGTGATCTATCCAATTCTATCTAAGTAATTTCCTAAAACACTCTTATTTATTTATTTACTTTGTCAGTGATGGCTGCAATTATCTGAGAGAGGTAGTACTTCTTCAAAAAACTCATACCTGAAGGATGTTTTAGAATTCTTCTGATTAATATAACATGTACACGTTTGCACCTATAAGTATGTTTTTAAAGTAACCATAAAGATGAACTAGGAATTTCATAAAGAGTTCCACACAGGAATAAATTTAAAACTTGGATTGTATATTTCAATGACTTGCTTCTTCAGTTAGAAGAATTTCAAATCTTTCAATACTGAAGCTGTAAATGCTTACAGGCACGTTGACTTTTCGAAACATCTCGGCACCTTTGTGAGCGTCCATCAATGCAATGTCCTGAGGTGTGGAGACAATCACAGCACCTAACCAAAAGATAAATAAAATGATGCTATCTTTTAATTCTTTATGGAGATATTATCTCCATCCAACATTATGTCGCTTACATGCTCAAACGGTCTACTACATTAACTATTTAAGTAATTCATATAAATTTTATATAAATGATTGAGAAAGGCAAGCAAATGTCTACTTTGCTCTTGCCTACATTTCACTCCTCACTTCTAAAATCACAACTGACTGATCAGTGACTCAGGATCACGGCTATATCACTGGAACTTTCTACTCATTCAGGCAATGTAGCTAGATAGATGCACAAGGCACGCCTTACTTTCAAGAATTTAATAATTTACTTTGGAGACCAAAAAATCAAGGAGTACAACAAAATGTGCTAATAAGCATTAGAACAGAATTATGCACAGGGTGTTACAGAATTATAAAGGAGGAAAATGAAGGAAAGCAAATTCAAGAAGGCAGGATGGTGAAGTATGACAAATGTGGGGAAGCAAGAGTTAAGAAGCAATAGGGGAAATTTTTCAGAAAAGGATGGTTCCTAAGTTGAGTCCTAAAAGTTTATATTCAAAATAGAACTTACACGGTGGAGAACAGTTTGGTGGGGTAAAATAGGGCTGTGGCAGAAATTCAGATACAAAATGGTAGTGGCCTGAACTAAGGTGGCACTGAAGTGAATGAAGGAGGTGGCTTTCCTGGATCTCCACGACTACCCTACAGAAACCAGATGGTACTAGGGCGTAGTGCTTTGAGAGAAAGTGTAGAATGACTTTTTTTTTTTTAAGTGGAAACAACAAAGGCCTGGTTATGACTGGCAGAGTCTGTGAATTTCTTAAATTTTGTGGTCACTTCTAGATGATAATCTGAAAAATAATTGACATAAACATATTATAAATCACATGACTAGCCATCACTTTCTAAGTACACAATGCCATGACATTTCAGAGTCCCAAACTGTTAAAATGGTACCAAGTGGCAGTCTCTGTCACGGCTAATATAAACACGTGCATGATTAACAATAAATGACTGATTACACCAAGTGAAGGTGAAATCATACTAGAGAGTATTGTTTGAAGGGATATTTTGAAGAATTAGAACAGAGAAAAGTGGTGGGAGAGCTAAGTTATCACAAAGCTCATGGCAATATAGGCATGCCGAACTCAAAAGAACCTGTGCAATAGTCGTTAGCTACAAATTCATATTGCAATCAGCATTTTCATTTCAGCAAAAACTTCTTCTTTCACATTAGTCATTAATTTCAATTTTATTGATTTTTTTAAATTACATAAGAGCTATAAATGAATTTATATTTATAAATTATAACACTGTAAGTGACCTTATAGTAAAAATAAGTTAATATGGGGTATGGGAGCATGAGATTATTTTTCCTTTAGAAGGAGGGTCTATTCATTACTCAACTTTGAGATACCCTAACTTTAGAATTCAAACAGATCAGGATTCAAATTTTGATTCCACAGCTGACTACCTTGGTGACTAGGTAATGACTTAACCAATCTGAGTTTCAGTTCTCCATCTATCAAATGGCATAGTAATATTTAGGTCACAGGGTTGAAATAATTAAATAAACTACTGTACACAGAAGCTTGACATGAGGCCTAACATTCAGTAAATGATAGCTGTTGCTATTGTTAATGATAACATCATCATCATCACTATGTTTAGTACTGTTATTAATAAAATGCCTCAGAAATTGCTGGGAAGAACATTTTCCTACATGCTATCAGGCACCTCATCCTACTTTCCAAACTGTTCCATGGATTGCTACATCCTTCTATTTTGATTTACTCTGCCCAAGAAACCAGAAATTAGTCAACAGTCCTCTTTCCCTTCTTTCAAAGACTGATAGAAATCTCATCTCTGCAAAAATTATACTTTTCTATACACATCCAATATATTTCTACAATATTCCACTTTGTAGAGTCTGTTATCAATCTGTTTTACTGTTTTTTCATATCCAGTCATTTGGAAGAGATCTAATTCCAGCTCTGGCCTCAGGTAGCTGTATGAATAATCTTCGGCAAATAACTCAGAATCACTGTGGATCTCAGTTTCCTTAGCTATGAAACTACTCCACCAGATAGTCTCCAAGGTTTCATCTATGATTATATGATTTAGCATTCCCTCTTAACTACAGTTTCCAAAACCACCCCTGCCCAACCTGACTGCCCCAGTAATCTTATTTAAGTGAATGTGAAATGCTCCCTTCTCCAAGAAGTATATAGACCCTCAATCTCAGAGCTATTCTCTTCATAAATAAACAGGGAACCTCATTGGCTAGTTCCTCCAAATCTTCTCCCTAACTATATATTAGTATATATAGGACATTCTCTGTTGTATTGGCTCTGAAAAGTACCCTTAGCTTTCAAATGATATAAACATGTTACTGTTTTAAATACTCTGTCTACTATGTGTATCAACACTATACAATATAGCTTTTCAAGGGTCGTTATGATTTTCTCATCTTTTTATCAAACAAAACTAATGACACAATACTTTGCACAAAATAGGCATTTAACAAAAGATCAGTGATTTAAACAATTTTCCTATATTTTTCAGAATCACCTAGCCTAGATTATTACAGCATAAACTTTTAGTTGGTAACTCCTTGAATTACGAGTCAAGAGCTCTGGATTTTGGTTTTGTTGACTGTGTTAATGTACTATACCACCTTGAATAACTCACTAAATCTCAATGCATCTCAGTTAACTCCTCTATAAAATGAACCTATTTCCATTGGTCCTATTTAACTTACAGAGCTGTTCCATTTAAAAAAAAAAGAGAGAGAGAGAATGTGAACATGTTATAAAATGGTCAGGGACATTATTTTGATAGCTAAAGATCCCAGAGAGAGAGATTTAAGTGACGTGGTTTTCTATTAACCTTTGTTCTTACCCTTAACAAAGTATCACAAATAAGCATACATGCTATCTGAGTTTCTTTGTAGAGTATTATGAATGGCACCATTCAAACATAAAATAACTTTTTGACAAGGACTATCATCTTCCATGTCCTATCAAATGCTCACAAAACATGTAAATATTCCAAAGGTTCTACTAGCCACATTTATGTGAGATATTTTAGTATAAGTTTTTTTTTTTTGCTGAAATGTATATTCTTAATTAATGACCAAGTCCTTAATCACAATACAATCAGCCTTTAGGATACTGTCCTAAAAAAAAAAAAAATTCTATTCCTTTTTGAAGAATACAGAAACATAACTGGTCCACACATAAATCACTACTTCTTTTGTTCTACAAAAATGGATGCTCCTTAACGTATGATGTGGTTACATCCTGATAAACTCATCATAAGATGAAAGAATTGTAAGTCGAAAATGCACTGAAAACACCTAACCTACCGAACATCATAGCTTAGCTTTGCCTATCTGAAATGTGCTCAGAACTCTTACATTAGCCTACAGTTCGGCATCTTGACAGAGTATCATACCACATACCACTAGCCCAGAAAAAGATAAAAATTTAAAGTATGGTTCTACAGAATGCTTATCACTTTCATACTGTCATAAAGTTGAGCCATCCTAAGTCAGGGACCATTGTACGTCATATAAATAATCATTTCAGACAGCCCTGTAATGACCCTTAGAATTTATAAGAAAATAAAGTACAAAAAAAGAAACCTCCAGTAAAATTGAATCCTACCCAATCTATGCATTTAAACCCAGATTTTTAAATTTTAAAGGAACTATGTCTTGTTAATATATCTCTCAGCTTGAAATGCAGTCTTCAAAACCTGATCATACATTTTATCTTTATGGTTTTCAGCTTTGTACAAGGTAAATTGTAATTTTTCTCATGGCTCATGAAACATGAACTAATATGAACTGGTCTAGAATTTTCTCCCTTTATACCATCACTGATGACACTTCAGTTTTGCGATGGAGAGCTTGTTAGAAAACTTGTGCTCCCTCTACTGACCATAAGGAAATGTCAGCAGCAGCAAAAAGAATGTTTAGTTTATAATAAATGAAATTATTTTCTGGGGGTAAAATGGCTATCTCAAGAATCCCATAGAGAATTCTCTATCCATTTTCTAGAGTAAATGTCTAAGTCCAAACAATGAAATAATATTGTTTAAATGCTATTTCCCAACTTGTGATCTTTTTAGAACATTTTTTATCAGCTGAGATTTACTATAAAAGGTTAACTGTCTGGCAGACTCTGGCAAATATATAAACATTTTACAAAATAATTATTTAGAGTATTGTCTTAATTGTTAATTCTCCAGACTATTAAGAGGAAAATCTATTTATAACTGCATATCTGGATTGGTTCAGAATTCAGAGAAGTGAAACATTTAAAACTGATTATTCCAGATATTAGGCTGATCATAATTATATCAGTGTGGAACTACTCAACTATGCATTCTAGTCTCCAGGGCCTAGATTATATCTAATTCCCATAGTTGACCGGGAACTTTAGTGTTGTAATGTAAAAAACACGTACAACAAAACCTGCTTGGAATTATACCTGGAGGAATAATGCTGCACCTTATATTGATATGCTCAAGAATTGTAAAGTCAACTATGACTTTAAAAAAAATTAACTGCTATTCTTAATGTTCACAGTGCTCTTAATATTTAGTGCTGCTGATTCTCATTGATTTATTTGGAGATACATTTGTAGCAAAAGAAAATAATCACTCAATTTCTGCTGGCTTAACATAAACAATGCCAAATATATTTATAATTTTTTATGAACTATAAAGTAGATTGGCTTTGGTATATTTTAGCTCTCACCTGTCTTCCTCATCTCTTACCCCCAAACTTCCTGAATTATAAACATTATTTGCTATAAGATCAAGAAATGCTCACTAATATCAATCAGCTTAAGTAAAACGTGATTTAGGGCTGGCCTGTGGCTCACTTGGGAGAGTGTGGTGCTGATAACACCAAGGCCATGGGTTCGGATCCCTAAATAGGGATGGCCAGTTTTTTAAAAAAAAAAAAATGATTTAAAAGGTAAATTCACCTCAA